GTGCATTCTTTCCTTCGGCGAGGACCATCGAGGAGCATCCGTGATCGCGGCAAACGCCACGCACGGAGCCGAGAAAAGCACGGGGCATGGACGTCCGAGCGATGGCGGGTGCCTGCCCGACCGTCGGGGTCCGCGGCCAGCGAGGCGGTCTCTGCCGCAGCAGTCCTCCGGCGAAGTGGCCCACTCGCGCTGAGGCCGTCCGCCCGCTGTTGAGTGTCCTGTGCGCCGGGCGCGCCCGTGGGGGTACGCCCGCCCTGCCCGCCCGTTGGGGTTCGCCCGCCCGAGCCTGAGCTGCTGTCTCAGGTTCGCAAGTCTCTCCGCGAAGAGGGAGATCTCGCGCCAGGCGAGCAATCTTCAGGAAGTTCAGACCAGGGCTGGACCTGAACGGTGTTTTTGGTGATTTCGTGGGCCGTTTTCGTTTCGGCTTTGTTTTGCGGTAAAGGCGGGTTCGGGACAAAAGCGAGGGAAAACGAAGCAAGACGAAAACGAAAAACACCGTTTAGTTTCAGCCCTGGTTCAGACTGACCCGTAAGGACGGGTACCAGTCTGTTCTTCATCGCCAGCCTTAGTTGAGGCTCGGGTTCAGGGCGCCTGTCAACAAAAATCGCCCAGTGGCGTCCGTCCGCCCGACCTGCCCGTTGGGGATCGCGGCCGGCGAAGCGGTCCTCTGGCGAAGCGGTCCGCCGGCGAAGCGGTCCTCCGGCGCAGCGGTCCTCCGGCGAAGCGGTCCTCTGGCGAAGCGGTCCTCCGGCGAAGCGGTCCTCGGCGAAACGGATGTCCGACGAAGCGTTCTCGTGCCGCGCCTCAGGCCCCCTCGACATGCCCCTCTCTTTTTCCTCCTCCTCCTCCTCCTCCTCGTCCCTCGCTTCCTCCTCCCGTCGACATGCCCCTCCCTGCTGCAACGTTCGGTCGATGTTCGTGGGATCTCCTTTGCAGCGGGCGTCACCCTTAGAGCGCAAAGAGGAGCCAAGTGATGTATCAAGCCTCGATCCCTATCAGACACGCAGCCCAAAGTGCTGCCATTCGAGCGCGCGGGTCGCCATGGCGAAGTCGAACCCTTCCCGATGCCGTGCGATGGTCCTCCCCTCCCTGCTAGAGGTGGTGGAGGACCGAGAGGGCAGGAGGGAAAGTAGACGAACAAAAACGTAGTCCATCACCGCTATCACTCTGGGGGTGCAGGGTGTCTTCCTCTGCGTGGCCCAGGTCAGGACGGCCCAGTAAGGCACCGCCACCGCCCCTGACCCTCTGCCGCCCCTGAGAGAACGGAGCACGACCAGGACGCAGCTGTCCAGATGCGCCCCTTGTGGAACGCAACGCGTAATTACCGTGTCTTAAGCGCCCAGGCCGAGCACGTTGCGTGGTGGCTCGGCACTTGTTGGGCAACTGTTGGGCGCCCGTGTCGCCCCAGACCTGCGTGTCATGTCTGCGTGTTGAGCTCCGCGTCGGCACGCTAGGTCGCGTGTTGCGTATCGGGGCAGCCAAGGACCAGGATGAGCATCAGCCGCCGCCGCAGCTGCTGTGGCAGCGGCAGCGGCAGCAGCGGCAGCCGAGCCCGCGCGGCAGCCGCGGCCGCACTCGAGCCCCTTGGGCCACGTCGGGGCGACGCCGTGCGGGACTCGGAGCGCCCCTCGTGCGCACCGCTCGGCTCGGCCGCCGTAGACAGCCGTTCGGGGCTACTGGCGCCCAGCAGGGGCAGGCGGGCCTGGCCCTTGGACGCCCGCGGGCAGGCGCGCCTCGCGAGGGAACTGGCAGGCCGCTTTTGAGGGGAGGCACGGGGAGGCTGAGTTCCGTGTTTGCCCAACCATCCTTTGGTATCGGGCTTTCGTCTTGAAGAGACAGTGCCCCGCGCTACTCTCCTCCTCTCCTCTCCTCCTCCCGCCCCTTCCTCCTCCCGTCACCCCCCCTCACTTTGGCACACCCTTCACACGCTTCGTGGCCCATAGGGAGCTCCACTGCAGGTCTCAGTGGCGCAGTCCGCATGCGTTTCCCCCGTCCAGTACAACGCCCCGTGGCCCCACAGGGAGCTCCACCGAAGGTCCCAGTTGCGCAGTCTGCATGCGGGTCCCCCGCCCAGTACACCGTTGCGTGGCCCCACAGGGAGCTCCACCGACGGTCCCAGTGGCGCAGTCCGCATGCGGCTCCCCCGCCCAGTACAGCGTTGCGTGGCCCCACAGGGAGCTCCACTGAAGGTCCCAGTGGCGCAGTCTGCATGCGGTTCACCCGCCTGGTACAGCGCTGCGTGGCCCCAGAGGGAACTCCGCCGAACGTCCCAGTGGGCAGTCCGCAGGCGGGTCGCCCGCCCAGCACAGCGCGCGCCGCCGCGCACAGCTGCCGCGCCCCGCCCGGCAGCTCCGCCGCCCCCCCCGCGCCCACGCGCGCGGGGAAGGGCCGGCCGGGACGGCAGGCCGCGGGGCGCGGGAGGTTCGCGCCCGGGGGGCATCGGCATCCGCAGACCTAGGGTCCCGAGGATTGTGCCTGACTCGGCCTCCTCCTCCTCCTCCTCCTCCTCCTCGCTCCTCGCTCCTCCTCGCTCCTCGCTCCTCCTCCTCCTCATCATCATCTTCCTCCTCCTCCTTCTCCTCCTCCTCCTCCTCCTCCTCCTCCTCATCTCTCCTTGCTCCTTCCTCCTGATCCTGCTCCTGCTCCTGCTCCTGCTCCTCCTACCTCCTCTTCTGGACCTCCTCCTTATCATCTCTTCCTCCTCCTTTCTCCTTCCTCCTGATCCTGCTCTGCTCCTCCTCCTTCTTCGCTTCCTCCTCCTCTCTCCCCTCCTATCCTCACTGCTCCCTCCTCCTCTCTCCATCATCTCCATCTCTTCATCATTCTCCTATCCTCATCCTCCTCCTCCTCCTCTCCTCCTCCTCCTCCTCCTCCTCCTCCTCCTCCTCCTCCTCCTCTCGGGACTCGGGGTCCCGAGACCAGACCTGCCTATTCTGGCACAGTCCTTTTCACCAAGCCGCCGAGCGCGTTGCACTGCTCGCAAGGTGCCTACCCGTAAACGTCCGAAGAAGCATACGTCTGCCTTGGTGTAATATCTCGTAAGTACCCTGCAGCGGATCCAGGCCATTTGCGCGTATCTACTTTGCGAATCGTGGAACGCGCTTGTCTACCAAGGGAGGAAGCCCCACCCCGACCCCGACGATTGGCGTTTGCTGAACAGCCCTGAGCGTTGACTAACAACGGCCCCGCCCTCTGTTTGACTCCTCCTTTGGGAGCGTTTGCTCAACGGAGTGCTTGGTACGAGGGTTTTGTTTTGTTCCTGTCTGCTCCCTATGTGAGTCCGGCTCAATGCCGTTCAATCGGGCATGCGCAGTCCGGCTTAATCCTGGGCCTGATCTGGCCTGATTTGGCGTGATGACCCCGTGCTCGAGCTCAGTAGCCCGAAGTCAAGGCCACCCAGGAGTTGCCTCCTAAGTTTAGTTGGCCGTCTAAGTGCTCATCGCCGCCCCGTCCTCCCCACTCGTCACTCTCCTGCTCCGCCTCCTCCCGCTCGCCCTCCCTGCGCTTCCTGTGGGTGCGTGCGCTCTTGTCTCGCTGTGGTGCATGCCCTATCGTGCGCATGCCGGAGGAGGAGGAGGCGGAGGAGGAGGAGGAGGAGAGGAGGAGGAGGACGTGGGAGGTGGGTGGAGGAAGAGGACCAGTATGATTGTGAGGGATGGGGCCTGAAAATCCCAAAGCGTACAGTCGTTGATCCACGAGCGCTCAGCTTCTCTATAATTATTCCTTTTTATTTTTTTTTTTGTGAGGGATGGGGCCTGAAAATCCCAAAGCGTACAGTCGTTGATCCACGAGCGCTCAGCTCTGACTGACACCGAATCAGAATCCCCCTGCTCTCCTGGTGTATGGGCCTCGCTTTGAGCCGTCGAGTTTGGCATTTCACAGATTGGTATTGGTCGCATGTGTGTAAGGCTGTCTTGTTTTCCTGTGACACACTTCCGACCTGTACCAGACCAGACCATAGCAGAGTTGAGTTGTCCCCTGCTCGAATCCACTGAACGCCACCGTTGGCCAGACGTGGGCATCTGCGCCCCATTTAATGTCTGGTGGAGCAGAGTAGCTCATCGGTTTGCGTTAACTATCTCACCTTTCTGTTCTCTCCAAAGTTCAGCCTGGCCCACGGCAGGCCAATACATCGCGTCGGCTGGCCATGTCACCGCCGACAACGGTTTCAGCGATCTTTGGTCACGTCGTGGGTCAGGTGGTCAGGTGGGCCCGGTCACAAGATACCAGGTTGTAGATAATAGGCTATTTTCGGTTGACCGTGCAGTCGACCAGTTGTCGCTGTTTTCTTGGACATTGAAAACTATGGCTGCCGTTTGTTTTTCAATCTGGCCAGATTTGGGGCGGAAGGGCATGCTGGGTGCCGGTGGTGATCTTGAGCTCTCGTGCGGCATGATGGCGCTCATGAGTGCGTTTGTGATGCTGGTTTCTGAGTGACGCCCTGACTTTGACCCGTCGTCCTCGCATCGTTGGACTGCCGTGGAAGCCTTTTCGGCGACAGGTTTTCGTCGTACGCTGGTTTTGAAGAGCGGCGCGTGCCTGGCAGAACTCTTGTGACGGAGGTTGTGCGCTCAGACCCTGTCGTTGCCAAGATTGCTGCAATCAGTCAGCGGCTTCCAGCTTGCAGTGCCCCCCTCCCGACACCAGCAGGGCACGATTTGACTCCGATCCCCCCCTGCTCCAATGCGGCCCCATGCTTGCACGGCGCCATGTTGTATCCTGGTGCAGCCGATCCAGTGTGGCCCCGATTCCGTGCCGATGCAGCCCTGCCCGACGCACGTTCCGATCCGATCCGATTTCCCGAGTCGATGCCGACCGGTCTCGCCCCAGCCGCGGTGACTCGCAGCCGTTTTGGCGCGAGCGAGAGGTGCACGACCCCCGGATGAGAGCTTGCGGCCGCCGCCGCGGCCGCCGCTGCCGCTCCGCCGCGGCGCGGCAGTGCCAGACGCGCGCGGGCACCCCGGGATGGGCGCGATCTGCCAGCCGGAGAACCCAGACCAATGGAGGATCGGGGATCGAGAGGCGGGGGTCAAGGCAAGCGGGGTCAGCCAGAGCGCCGGATCTTTCAGGATCCTGCAGGGCCAGGGGCGCACTGACCCTGTCCTGGGTGCAGGATCCTGCAGGATCCTTCGCATTGGCCCGGGTTTGGGTGCAGGATCTTGCAGGATCCTGCACGATTCTGCAAGGCCTGACTGACTGATCCCCCCTAGAGGAGCCGGGCGGGGCTAGTCGGCCACGCGCAGAGATTGGTAGGGGGAGGGGCTAAAGCTTCTTTGATGGAGGTTGCTTCGAAGCACTCTTCCCCCCTCCTCCACCTACTCCCCTCTGCGCGCAGCCAAAAAACAGGAATGATATCGTCCCAAAGCCAAACATGCTCGCGTCTTGACAAAAATCAGGGCCCGATGTTTGGGGCCGATTTGGGTCTACGGTTGCCCTTACTGGGTTCGGGGACCGCCAAAAAGAGGCTCAGGATGAAAAACCGGCCCCAGGGAAAGGTTCGGGACTTTGGGGGCCCCGCGTTGAAACATGACATCGCGTTTCTGGGATCGTTCCAGTATAAACGCTCATTCCGGGCCACTCTGAGAAGGCCGCGGCGCCCGATACATCCTCCAGAACCGCCGGATCTCCGTGATCTCCGATTTATCAATCCCTGTCCGATATTATCCCTGTCGCGGTTTCGTCTTATGACCTAGGCCTCCCAGTAGGTGAGGTCGAATAAGAGCTTCGCATCGGCAATGCATCGACGATGCGGCTCGATGCAGAGCCAAAGTTTCCCCACGCCGATGGAGGCATTGCCGATACAATGGCGATGCGGCGCGATCCTCCGACCTCACGTAGGAGGAGGTGGAGGAGGAGGAGGCGGAGGAGGACCAGGAGGAGGGGGAGGAGAAGGAGGAGGAGGAGGTGGGAGGAAGAGGATAAGGAGGAGGAGGAGGAGGAGGAGGAGGAGGAGGACGGGTGACCAGTGTAAACCCAAGGCGCATCAACGATATTTGAATGTACGTTGTTGAACGAGTTTGCATCGCACAGTTCCGTTTCATTCCTGCTCTATAGTCTTTCTGGCTCAATGGACTTGGCCCTGCGAGGATTGCAGGCTATCGCTCCTTGGGCCCCTCTTCTTTCAGTCGCCCGCTGCCCCGACTGCCATTGCATAGCAGATTGCCAGGTCAGCAGTGATATCGTGGGCCTCCTGGGGCGACAGCTGGAGCGCTGTGGGCCAGAGCAGCTCACCTGTCCTGTGTGCCCAAGCTGTCCGCCGCTGCAGTGCCCCGAACCGCCGTTCGCGTGGGGTATCTTCGTCGTAGGGCTGCTCGCAGGTGTGCTCTCAGCAGCGACCGCAGGCGCCGTGTGGAAGAGGACCGCACGCCCGTGGAGGTCAGGATTGGATGGCGGCCCGCAGCTTAGCAGAACGCACGCGGCACTGCCTGCAGAGCCGTCAAGTGGGGTCGAGGGCCCTCGATTACTACGAGCTGCGCGATGACTTCTGGCATGAAGAGATCATGCTGGCACGTGTTCAGGACTTCCGCTTCAGGGTGCTCATCGCGCCTCGGGACATCTATGATGAGAGCATGTCCCAATCGCTCCTTCGGCTGCCGCTGGGAGCTCGGGGCATTCGTGAGGAGGGTGGCTCGCCTGCACCAGCAGACCACACAGGGGCGTGCGCCGACGGCGAGGCGGAGGCACTTGCGGAGGCGCCGTCCCCTGCGGCGTTGCTGGCCGCCGCGTGGCCCGCTGGGCCAGCGGCTGGAGCCGCGGCGGGGGCTGGCGCCCTGGTGGCCGCGCCGGCCGCGTCGCCTGGGCCTCCGGCGGCGGGCCCTCTCCTCGCCCCAGCACCGCCGTGGCTCGCGGCGCCACCGGCGGACGCGGTCTGGCTTGCAGCAGGGACGCGTGGGGGCGCCACGGCGGGGACTCGTATCTCGCCCGAGCCTCTTGGAGCTGGTGGCCAGTCGCAGGTCGTGCTTGGCGGGCGCGGGTGCATGCTGCGGGGTTCGGGCCCCTCGCTCGTGGTCGCCGTGGCCAACGCCCTGGAGGCGGGGGCGGCCGCGCTGTCCGGCAGCGGTGGGGGCCTTCCCGCGCTGCCAGTGCTCTACTTGCCATCGGGCGGCCGCTCCAGGTTGCTCCATGACGCTCTGGCCAAGATGTCCACCACGCCCGTCGCGAACGGGCGCTACAAGGGGCCGAGGACCGCGGCCGTGCTGCTCGAGAAGATCTCGGAGGCGGACTACATGCCGCTGCAGAGGCAGTGCTGGTCGAGGTCAATCCAGGGGCTCACAGCATTGGACTCGGGCATGGACGACCACCACTTCACGTTGGAGGTGCTGCAGGAGCTCACCACCGAGGACCGGCTCGACGCTTGCAAGCTGGTGGTGGTGGAGACCCGCTGCCGTCGCGACCAGCTCTGGGAGGAGCCGTATGCTTCGAGCTGGCGCGAGGGTGAGGCTGGTCAGGACGCTGCACCCTGGCTCGATGGGCGACCCAATTTCCTCGGGCAGGGCAGGAGCCGCGGCTCGGCGCTTGTCTGCGCCGCCGGGGAGAGCTGGGTGGCGACGATGCTCCGAGAGGTGCGCGCCATCCTCAAGGAGCGCAAGAAGGGGCGAGAGGAAAGGCTGCTGGAGCGCGGCGCCGAGCGCGGTGCGGCCTCTGGCGAACCAGCGGCGGGTGCCCAGGCCAAGGCATACGGCCGCGGGGGCGGCCGTGGCGCCTGAGGCGCCCCCCCGCGCCGAGGGGTCCCCCGACCTCGGCGCGAGTTTGCAGGGGAGGCGAGGCGTGCTGAACGGTGATGCCCCCTCGCTGGGTTTTGGCGATGTCGGTCTCGCGCAGAGAGACGCGCTGCCCATCCCGCTCAACTCGGAGGCGCCCCAGTGCTTGAAGGGGTTCTCTGCCCTTGACGGCGAGCTCTCGCTGGGGCAGCGGCGCAAAGCCGCTCGCTGCAGGCGCCAGGAGCTCTGGATGCTGGAAGGCGTCGCGGCGCTCAACGAGCTGGGTGGCGGCGGGCGGTCGGCGGGCGGCGGTGGCCACCTCAGCTTGGCGCGGCGCTCCGCGCTGCAGTATCTGAAGGGGGTCTACGCCGCGGTCCCGCCGAGGACTGAAGATTGCACCAACCAGGAGGCGTTTCAGGCGCTTCTGGGGCTTCGACCTGGCTATGCTGACGAGCCAGCGATCGGGGCGAGAGCCGGCTACCAGCGCGCGAGGGTCTCTCTTCCTTCTGGCGGTGCTGGGCGGGTCGATCTTGTTCGGCTGTTGCCCGCGCACCTGCAGTCGGCGCTGGAGTCCGGGCACGGGTTATTGCGCTCGGAGCAGGAGGCTACTGCTGCTCTGGAGGAGGCGGACGTCACGTGTTACGTGGACGGTAAGCTGGCGCAGCGGGGCATTGACTACGGGCGGTTCCTGCTCGAGCTCTACGATGCGGGGATCGTCGAAGTTTTGGACTACGAGCTGGAACGGAAGGAGGAGACGGGTGTCTTCTTCGTGCCACGCAAGGATGACAAGCTGAGGCTCATTTTCGACACTAGGAGGGCGAACTGCCACTTCAGGACGCCCGAGTGCACGCACCTGGCCTCCGGCGACGCCCTCAGCAGCTTGGAGTGCACGCCCAGTGAGGAGGTGCACCTGGCGGCGGGCGACGTGGAGGTCTGCTTCTACCAGTACGTGCTGCCGGCCTGGGCCAGGAACTACTTCTGCTTGCCGAGCTTGGCGACCCGCATGCTGCCGGCCCGCCTGCGCGAGGCGTTGGGGCCTGAGCTGTCTGCTCGGCCCAGGGTAGCCTTCCGCGTGCGGGTCGTCCCCATGGGTTGGAACTGGGCCGTCCACCTTGTGCAATCTGCCCACCTGAATGTGCTGGCTTCGGTCTCTCCGAGCAACCAGTGGCTGGTGGACAAGCAGCCTGGGGCGTGCCTCTCTGACAGTTCAGCCGCGGCCAAGGTCCTGTACATAGACAACCTTGCTGCCATTAGCACCAGCCGCGAGACAGCATTGCAGGTGGTCAACGACATGCTTGACTCGTTCACCAGTGAGGGCGTCAAGGCATCGCTCGACCTGGATGTCGTCCTCTTCGGCTTCACGCTGGACGCGAAGGCCGCCAGGTGGCGACCCGCACCCAAGAAGTTTTGGAGAGTACATGGCTGTATCTCGCACCTGCTGGAGCCGGGAATGCGCATCACGGGGCGCCAGTTGGAGAGGCTTGTGGGTCACGTGGTTGCGCTGCTGTTGCTGCGCCGTGAGGCGCTCAGCCTCCTCAGTGCAGTCTACGTCTTCATCCGCTCCACCTACGACAGGGCGCAGCCGCTGTGGCCCAGCTGTCGACGCGAGCTCAGGTGGGTGCTCGCACTGTTGCCCACGGTGTTCGCCGATATGAAGAGGCCCTGGCACGCTGAGGCGGGTGCCTTCGACGCGTCGCCGTGGGGCGCGGGAGTCTGCACGGCGCACTGGCCCTTGAGCGCAGTGCAGGCCGCTGGCAGACAGCCGGAGAAGCTGCGCTTTCGCGGGCCCCTCGCCTCATTGGTGGCCCCGCGGGACGCTGCCCTAGCTGCCGACAGCGTCGAGCTCTCGGACCCAGCCGCACTCTTACTTGGGCGTGCTGCAGGTTTCGCCGAGGTGAGCTCTGAGCTGCTGCGTGAGGCGACCTGGGTCACGGCTGTTGCATGCAAGTGGAGGCGCCAAAGTACCATCCACAGGCTAGAAAGCTCAGCAGGGCTTCTCTGGCTGCGGCGCGCCTCTCGCAATTCGAGATGTCACGGACATCGTCTTCTGGGCTTGGGTGACAACATGTCGATGATCTGCGCCCATGAAAAGGGTCGTGCGTCTGACTTTGGTCTCTTGTCTGGCTGCCGCTGCTCCTTTGCCATATCGGTCGCCTGCAACCTCAAGGTCACGTTCAGATGGACCCCCTCAGAGCTCAACCCTGCTGATGGCCCTTCGAGGCGCTTTCAGTCTGGGACGGAGCCGTCTTGGCCCAAGCACAAAGACCAGTTCAGGCGTCACAACGGCAGTGGCCATGCAGGAGGTCCGCACGCTCCAGGCTGCTCCGCCGGCCGGCCAGCCGAGCCTGCCAGAGGTGGGAGGCGCTTCGCCGACCCCGAAGCGAGCCGCTGGTGGTGGCGGATCCGCAAGGAGCAGAGCGCAGCCACCGCCGCTTTCCGCCCCGGAACAGGCCCGCTGGCTGCCCCGCCAGGGCTTGCTGGCAGCCAACGTGGTGCAGCCGTCCACTCTGGTGCTCTACCTGAAGGTGTTGCTGCTGCTGGCAGGGTGGCTCATGGTGGACGTGCTGCTCGACTGGCCCGTGGCAACTTGGGACGCAGCGCTGACCGACCTTTTTCTTTTCTCCTGCAGGTGGGCCTTTTTTTTCTTTTTTGTTTTTTTTTTTTTTTTTTTTTTTTTTTTTTTTATTTTTTTTTTTTTTTTTGTATTTTTTTTTTTTTTTTTTTTTTTTTCTTTTTTTTTTTTTTTTCTTTTTTTTTTTTTCTTTTTTTCTTTTTTTTCTTTTTTTTTTTTATTTTTTTGTTTTTTTTTTTTTTTTTTTTTTTTTTTTTTTTTTTTTTTTTTTTTTTTTTTTTTTTTTTCTTTTTTTTTTTTTTTTTTTTTTTTTTCATTTATTTTTTTTTATTTTTTTGTTTTTTTTTTTTTTTTTTTTTTTTTCTTTTTTTTTTTTTTTCATTTCTTTTCAACCGGAGATGACGGGGCGCGACAACTCACGCGAGGTCCGCCTGGAGTGGGGCACAGGGGAACAGACTAGCACTTGGCGCCCCTGCAGAGGTGCTTCCCGCAGCTCGCCCACTTGCTGCCGGGTTGGAAGCGTCTTCACATGTTATCAGTGGTGCCGGTTACAGAGTTGCAGCAGCCAGGCAAGACGGGCGAGCTGGACCACACCTTTGTGCGTGTCTTCCCGCGGCTGCAGGCCCTGGTTTGGGCCTTGGTGCGCCTCCGCGACCTCCGCCTGTGCTTCTGGCACCCGCTGTGGGACTTCGTCGACAGCCTCTTCCTGCAGCGGTTTGGCCAGGTGCTCAAGGCTGTGCGAGCCAACTGTTTAGCAGGCACGCTCTGCAGCCTCAGGCAAGGCGGCGACATCCTCGACCGCCTGACGGCCAGCCGCACGCTAATGGAGAAGCTGCAGCTCGGAAGCTGGCACGCCTTCAACAGCGTGCAGCGCTACGACAAGCACGCGTGAGTGGCGATCGAGCAGATAATGATTCCAGCCCACCAGCGGCTGGAGCGCGAACATTTGGCCGCTGGATTCGACGCCGCCTGCAAGCAGTACTCTCTTCAGCTGTGATGAGTAGCAGGGGACATGATTCCCGCATTTTCATTGACCTTTTCAGTGGCTCCGGCAACCTTGCGCGGCACTTGCGACAGGCTGGGCACGCTGTCATTGAGTGGGATGTCCTTCACGGGCAAGAGTTTGATCTTGCCCAGCCTGCGCCTTGGGCCGTGCTTCGCGGCTGGATCGCCAGCGGCAAAGTCAAGGCCATTTTTATGGGCACGCCTTGCGAGTCGCTCTCGCAAGCGCGACGAGGCGGCCCTGCATCTCGCATGCCTCGACGCCTTCGTGACAGCGCACACATCTTTGGCTTGCCGGGCTTAGCTGCAGCCGATCAGGCCAAGCTTGAGCTTGGCAACCTGCTTGCCTCCCGCGCGGGGCAGATCTGGCAGCTAGCAGCAAAGTTTGGCATCCCTATCGGTGAAGAGAACCCTGGCAGCAGTTGGCTTTGGCATTTTCCTGACAGAGCGCGTCGCCATCACTCTCCCTTTTTCTTTGAAGCAGTTGTTGATCAATGTGCGGCTGGTCGTCCCTTTCGTGCGCGCACTAGGCTCCAATTTCTGCATTGTCGCCCCTCTCCTTCTCTTCTGGCCATGAAGTGTCATGGCCGCGGCGTGTGTGATTTTTCAGGACATCCCCATCTTGAGCTGTCTGGAAAGGAGAGCGGTGCCACCCACTTTCGCACTCAGCAAAAGTCCGCCTATCCCGACGCTCTCTGCAAGCAGCTTGCTCAAATGTTCTCGCAAACAATTGTCGCCAAGGTGGTCTCTAGAAAATGGATGTTGCTTCACGGCCAGGCCAGTGCAATGCTTGTTGATGGGTACTGTGCTTTGTTGTGGATGGGCCGTTGTCGCCTGCCAAAGCTGCCCTGTGCCAGGCTCCGTTCCTCAAGCAGATACTGGAAAAAAGAGGATGCATGTACGTTGTTGAACGAGTTTGCATCGCACAGTTCCGTTTCATTCCTGCTCTATAGTCTTTCTGGCTCCCAATGCCAGCCCGTCGCCTCCAGACGTCTATATTGCCGCAGGCCGTTGTCGCCTGCCAAAGCTGCCCTGTGCCAGGCTCCGTTCCTCAAGCAGATACTGGAAAAAAGAGGATGCATACACCCTCCCTCCTAACTCCCTCTTCATAGGCCCCTACATGGGCTCATTTCCACTGATGGAATTACCAACTGGGGGGACAACCGCGTGAAAATGCTGAAACGTGCCAAAACATCATTCTCAGGACTTCAGCGCCACTGGTTTAAAGCGAATGTGCGCGGTTCTACGGGGCGAGCCACATTTTGAAAAGAGCCGCCCTCATTCCGCGAAGCTCTTGCATTTGTGCTAGAACGAATGTGCGCGGCGCTAGTGCGAGAGCCACATTTTGAACAAACACCGCCCTCAATCCTTGAAGCTCGTGCAAAGTGTTTAAACGAATGTGCTCGGCGCCAACGCGAGAGCCACATGTTGAAAGCCACCTGCCCTGCATTTGTGAGCTGTCGACTCACAGCAACGAATGCACGCGGTGCTAAGGCGAGAGCCACACTTTGTCTACTACCCGCCCTCCACGTATGAAACGGTTGCCATTTTTTCAGCTTCAGGACTGGTGAGGACATCTCAGGCGACACGCCTGGCTCGCCCTTTCGACCGACATTTTGGGAGCGACAGGGGGAAGTTATCTAGAAGGAAAAGGAATACAGGGACGGGGCGCAGGAGGAGGAGGTGGAGGAGGAGGAGGTGGAGGAGGAGGAGGAGGAGGAGGAGGAGGAGAGGGGAGGAGGAGGAGGAGGAGAGGAGGAGGAGGGGAGGAGGAGTGGGGAGGAGGAGGAGGAGGCGGAGGAGGAGGAGGAGGAGGAGGAGGAAGGAGGAGGAGGAGGGAGGAGGAGGAGGAGGAGGAGGAGGAGGAGGAGGAGGAGGAGGAGGAGGATGAGGAGGAGTAGGAGGGGGAGGAGGAGGAGGAGGATGGGGAGGAGGCGGGAGGAGGAGGAGGAGGAGGAGGAGGAGGAGGAGGAGGAGGAGGACGAGAGGAGGAGGAGGAGGAGGAGGAGGAGGAGGAGGAGGAGGATGAAAGAGGAGGAGGAGGGAGGAGGAGGAGAGGAGGAGGAGGAGGTAGAGTTAGGGAGGAGGGGAGGAGGAGGAGGAGGAAGGAGGAGGAGGAGGAAGGAGGAGGAGGCCGGAGGAGGAGGAGGAGGAAGGAGGCGGAGGAGGAGGAGGAGGAGGAGGAGGAGGGGAGGAGGAGGAGGAGGAGGGGAGGTAGAAGAGGAGGAGGAGGATGGAGGAGGGAGGGAGGAGGAAGGAGGAGGAGGAGGAGGAGGAGGAGGAGGAGGAGGAGGAGAGGAGGAGGGAGGAGGAGGAGTAGGCGGGGGAGGAGGAGGAGGATGGAGGAGGGGGAGGATGCGTGAGGAGGAGGATGGGAGGAGGGAGGAGGAGGAGGAGGAGGAGGAGGAGGAGGAGGAGGAGGAGGGGGAGGGGGAGGAGGAGGAGGAGGAGGAGGAGGAGGAGGAGAGGAGAGGAGGAGGAGGAGGAGGAGGAGGGGAGGAGGAGGAGGAGGAGGAGGAGGAGGAGGAGTAGGGGAGGAGGAGGAGGTGGGGAGGAGAGGAGGAAGGAGGAGGAGGAGGAGGAGGAGGAGAGAGGAGGAGGAGGTGGAGGAGAGGGAGGGGACTAGGAGAAGGAGGGGGAGGAGAAGGGGGGGAGGCACCTCCAGGAGCATGCAGCGCGTGGAGGCCTGGCGGGGCGCCCCCTCCTGCGGCCCCGCGGCCGGCCATGCGGCCGGCCCGGGGCGCCGCGGCCCGTGCCCCGCCGAGGGCGCGGCGCCAGCGCACGGCGGCTGGGGCGCGGCGGAGGCCGCGCTGCGGGGCGCGGCAGCGCCCCTGCGCGGAGGAGCTCCGCGCGTCAAGCATTCAGTCGGCCCGGTCCCTCCACACGCGGGATATTCAAAAATAGTCAAAATTAGCTTGGGGACGATTTTTTCAAATTATTTGTTGATCATTTGGGCGTATGTTTGGAGTGTTTTTTATCTTTCGTCCAAAATCGCCCTGTAGGGGGACATGCCCGACCTAAGTCAAGCCGTGGCGAGGCGTCCTGGCCTGCCCCGTGGTCGGGTGCAGCTCCTGGGAGGTCTGGAATGTCCGGCCTCAGACCGCTGCATCCGGCTCCATCCCGCTCGATCCGGCCTGGTCCCGCTGGCTCCGAGGCCTCATCCGGCCAGACAGCCCCCCCAGTGCATGGGGCTTAATCTTTTTGATCTTTCCAGCGAAGACCTCCCAGCAGTTGTAACCTAACTGACGGTCGTTTCTTATTTTCATTGTTTCGCCGATCGGCGCGGGCCCTCGCATCCCCCTCCCCAGCCGCCCATGGAGCAGATCTCAGTTGCTTTTGGCGCCTGCTTCAAGCAGGTGGAGTCCCCACCATAGGACCATAAGACGCAGAGCTGCAAACAGTCGCATGGATCAGAGATCAGGGGCCAGTCCGCCACCTCCCCCCCTCCTTCCGCCCAGTGTCGCAATGCCCAATGAGAAAACGTTCACCTGTTATGTCCACCAGAGAATGTTCTAAGAGCCTGTGTGGCTTCGACCAGACGTGAGAGTGACCTTTTGCCGGAGTGGCCGTTGGTGCGGGCCCACTGGGGCCACCCGTTTGGCGAGCGCCCTGCGATAGCAGCGTTTTGCGCGCGGGGGGCGTGGCCCTGCCGCGGCTCCGCGCAAGCCGCGCACCAAGGGTCACTCTTGCCTAGGGTCACTTTTGCGTGTGTAGCCGAGTCAAGCAGTGGCGAGGCGTTCTGGCCTGCTTGTTAGTCGGCGGCGAGCGAATTGGGGGGAAGTGAGAACGAGCAGGCCTCGTCAGAAGGCGGCGGGACTTCTCGGAAGCCCTCGCGCCTTCTGAGAGGTGCTCCGTGATTCATACAGGAAGGCTCAGGCAACTTCTCAGAAGGCCAGGGGGTTTCCGAGCCTTCTGAGAAGGCCCGCCCCTTTTCACTTCCCCCGGGCTCTCCGCCGATGTTAGCCCCACCACAGAATGTTCTAAGAGATTTGCTTGTCTGCACGAAGAATGTTCTCAGAACGTTTCTGGCCGAGGCCGTCCTGTTCGAACACATCGGGTCGATGTCTCAAGAACGTTGTTTTCTGTTTGTAGAACAGTCTTTTCGTTTCAGACCATGGTATGGTAAGCCTGTAGGAATGCTGGGATGGTCGGTCCCTGCTCAACTACAGTACGTTTGTGCCCTGTTGACGCGGCGGCGACCCCGCCGCGGGCGTTCAAGGTTGAAAACCGTCAGTGGCCCAGAATCGGCCAACATGGAACGACTCGGCGATCGGAAAGCCGCCGATCGTTCATGGTTGAATGATCCACGCTATATCAGAAACCAACGCCAAGGTCATCACGACACGAACCAACCGTGCTTTGGGCCTCCCACACGTGTTCGTAGCAGATGGGGTCAGAGAATCGCGCCGCATCGCCGATGCGTCGGCAATGCGGCTCGACGTGGATCCCGATGTTCTCCACGCCGGTGTCGCCGATGCACCGCCGCCGTCGCCGAGGCATCGCCGATGCATCGGCGATGCGGAACAATCATCCGATCCCCGTCTACTCTGACTCCATCTGGGAGGCCTTCAGGACCACCCTATAGGGCCCCGCAGTCCTTCGCCTTCGCTCCAGAGGCCGCGGCGCTCGGACGCTGCGCGGGCGGCTTCCCTGGCGCGGGGGCGTACACCCTCCGGCTGATCGTCGTCCCGATGGGCGTGATACTCTCGACGGGCGCCATGACCGTGGCCAACACGGTGCAGTCGTTGGAAGTCAGGCCCGTCTGTCTCTTCTTTTCGGACGTGCTCAACGATCCGATCACCGAGCCTTGGGCAGTCTGGGCACTGCGGTGGCTCATATGGATTCTGGGGATCTCGTCTTGGATAAGTTTCAAGCGCGCCCACATGCCGCGGCAGGTGCAGTGGGTGTTTATGCAGCAGTGGGCGTGTTTTATGGTAGCTATACTGGCAGGGTTCCGCCAGCTTGACCCACCAATGGAGGTATACGCCCTCATGTACAAGCTTCACCAGGTTTCAGCGCTAATCATGTTTCTTGGGCTGTGGTTAGAGACCGTGATGCTCTGGTGCCCAAGTAGGATCTTGCACGTGGTGTACTTCGTCACAGTGCCTATCGAAGTGCTCGCATTCGCTTTCTCAGGGCGCTTCTACATAGAAACGGGTATCCCTTACATCTACGGGCACCCGGAGATAGTCTTGGAGTGGCTCCTCATTTTCGCGCACTTCGTGGCGGTTCGGGCACCCATCTCACACCTCAGTCTGTGCCAGTCCAGGGCCTCCCCTCACCCCTCCCTGTCCTTCACCCCTCCTCCACCTCCTCCTCTACCGCCTCATCCGCCTCCTCCGCTTCATCCCCCCATCTTCCCTCCTCCACCCTGTTCTGAGGCGGCGCCCGCGCTTCCGACCAATATGCCAGAGCGAGTCTCCGCAGACAGCGGAGCGGAAGCCACAGAGTTGTTCTTCGCAGGTGATTCCATCCATTTTTTTCGAGGGGCCGCATGCGTTTCGGGACGTGGAGCTTGGCCCCCAACGGCGGCTCCACCACCACCACCACCACTACCACCACCACCGCCACCACCACCACCACTTCCCCGTTCTCACGCGTCCTTTTTGACGTTGAGCGGACTTCCATGCTAATTGTATAACTCGAATGACAGTGCAGAACCAACAAAACATACAAGTCGCCAAAAATAATCGGAATTGCAGGTTCGAGGAGCAACGGAAAAAAGCCGGGAGCCCACGAGGGCGAAGAGAATTAAACTTTGGCCGGCACGGGAACGGAAAGAGCGCATTCAGCAATTTACTCAAACATGCTCATGGCATCATTCGCCTCTCGAGTCTTGGTATTAAGAGTCTTTTGCGGCGAAACTCACTCTTCAGAACCTTGTTACTCCTGCTCCTCCTGCTCCTGCTTCTGCTCCTCCTTGTTCACCAACCAATCGAGAATCAGCGCTCCTCCTCTTCCTTCTGCTCTTCCTTGCTCATCCTCTTCCTCTGCTCCTCCTCTGCTTGCTCCTCCTCTGCTTGCTCCTCCTCCTCCTCCTCCTCCTCCTCCTCCTCGTCCTCCTCATCTCCTCCTCTTCCTCCGCGTCCATCCTCGTCCTCTTCATCCTCCTCTTCCCTCCTCCTCATGCTGGTCCTCCTGCTGTTCCTCCTCCTCATCCTCCCCTCCTCATCCTCCTCCTCCTTCCTCCTTCCTCCTCCTCCTCCTGTTCGTGGTGCTCCTCCTCCTAAGAGTTGTTTTACGCCAGTCGTCGTTATAAATGGGGAGCCATGGTGTTGTGAGCTTATGACGTCACTGTGAGCTCTTGGAAGCCTATGTTATGTGGCGTATCCGAGCCTTCTTGGGGGTCGTTTTGGGGTCCTTTGGGGCCGTCTTGGGGCTCGCTTGGGCCGACTTTGGGCACTTTCGGGGCGTCTTGGAAGGCTTTGGCCGTCTTGGGGCTCTCTTGGGGGTCTCTTCGGGCCCTCTTGGGAGACTCTTGAGGCCATCTTGCGGCTCTCTTGGGAGCGTCTAGACCCTCTTGGGCCTTCTTGGGTCCCTCTTGGGAGCCTCTTTGGGCCCTCTTGGGCCGTCTTGGGGCCTTCACGGGAGCCTTGAGGCGATCTCTTGAGCCTTTTGGGCCGTCGTGGGTATCGAGCCGCCCAGAGGGCCATCCCACTCGATAAATATCGAGGCCGGAGGGCGATGAGACTTTTCGCCCGCCCGTCTCCCCTCCCTGGACCCCCCCTTGGGCTGACGCCCTACCAAGAACGGAACCGCGTGAACGCTCTTTCCGTCATCTGCAGGCGTTGGCACGGCAGTCTTCCCTCTCTTCCTCCCGCCCCCTGCCCCCAGGGTCCCTGGAGGCCCGCGGGCGGGGTGGGGGGAAGTCGAAGAAGAAAAAACGCCATAAACATTAACTTTTGGCGCTCCCCGCGGATTTCTTGGGTCCGCGCTGGGCTTCTCCAGCGGCGCCTCCGGCGCCGCCCAGGGAGGGTTCCAGCGCAGATCCACGAAACCCGCGCGGAGCGCCAAAATTTGATGTGTGTGCCGTTGTTCTTCTTCCAGGGAGGGGGGCAGGGCGAAGGGCGAGGGTGCGGCGGGCCGTCGCCGTCTGGCCGAGCGCCCACCCGGGCGTGGCGAGGGCCCCGCCTCCTCCCTTCCTCCCCCCCAGGTGGTGTGGCTCCGCTTCCCGGCCGTCAGCGCGGCGGTGGGGGACGCGGGGAGCCTGGCACCAAGGGCGGGGGCGTCCCCAGGCACGATCGGGTCGTTTAGCAAGCAGTGGCGAGGCGTCCTGGCTCGCCTATAGGCCTACCAGAGACTGTTCTGAGAACCGTTTGTGGTTTGCACGACATTGTCTTGGAGCATGTCTGGCTAAGACTGTCTTGTTCTGAAACATCGGGCCTGTGCTGAGAGCACTGTTTTGGTTTTGAGAAGTTTAGGCTCTAAGAACATGTCGTGGTAGGCCTACACGAATGCCAGGACGGTCGGTCCCTGCTCAAATCAGAAAATCACAACGAAAGGTTTTTTGGCCATTTTCGGCTTCCGAGGGTCGGGACTTCCGGCGGACCGCGTATTGGAAAAACCAGGACGTCGCATGTCTGGGTCAGTATCGTTTAGCCGATCCCTATCCTCATCCACAGCCCGAGCCCCACCATCTCACCACCCCTGTTGGGGAAATGCTCCTCGAAGCTGGAGGGTGGCGTGTATCCCCGTGCAGGGTGGTAGATCGGACAGTGGGGCCCAGGCCACGCCAGTGGGGAGAGGGATCGGTTGGGCGATCCTCAGTGTCGGAGTGGGCTGGGGGTCTGAGGTGGCCCAGCAGGAGGGGAGGGCGAGGTTCAAGGTGCTGAGTTCGATTCGTTTTTTGTGTATTGTTTCGTCTAAGTGGGCTGGCTTCGGGCCGGAGACCGCGAAAGATTGATCCAGGGTCTCCTCCTCCTGCCCCTCCTGCTCCTCCTCCTGCCCCTCCTCTTCCTCCTCCTCCTCCTCAGATCGACTCGAGGCTGGCCCCGCACCCAGATTTGCCGCGAGATGCGTCTGTGACCATCACTTGCGCCCCAGACCCCGTTGTTGTCGTCCCTGGAAAAGAGTTCACCTGAAGGACCCCAGGTGGGATCCGGGGACAGATTTCGAGCGGATTTGCCTTCGCCCTCCGCCCTTGACCGATTCTCTCGGGGTAGGTTCTTGCGTCGCTTTCTGCCTCTTGGGGCCCTCGCGGGGCCTCGGTACCGTCAACCAAGGGTTCGGAGGCAGCCGGTCCCAGGGGAGGGGTCGAGACTTCTAGGGATCTTGAGCTGAACAGATCAAGACATGGATTTCTGGGGGGTAGATTAACGACGGGGCCCGCTCACGTGCAGGGTCGGCGCGCTTCGTCTTCAAAGGCCTTCTGTTTCGGGGGGTGCCTTATTGATCCGTGGATCTGGCACCTACGCGCCAGATCCACGGATCCGTAATCTCTGTCGGCGTGCGCCCGAAATGACGAGGGGTGTGTTGGTAATATGGCCAGGGCCACTATCGAATACCGTTCCGCGTAGGTCTTGTGCATTGCCATCAACACATGCAGTTGCACATGCTATGTTTGCTTTGCCTGCTATACCGTCACAGTGATGGGATGCTTAGCCAGTCAACGCTGCACTATGTCTTTATCGCGTGATATGGTATACCGTACACCGTTTGCTCCATGCTTTAATTCGTGGCTGCGCAGTGATATGCTAAAGTTGTGCGTCTACTTCTATGGTTGAACCATCTCATGTCATGCCATGCCGTTCCTTCGTATTCTATCGTATGCAAGGTCATGTTATGATGCCTTGATGCGGTCTGGTGAGCTGGCTAGCGCAACGCAAAATTACCGTGGTATGACATTCTAGTCGGTGCCGCATTATGAGTTTGATGGTATACATTAATGTGTATCGTACTCTGACGCCTTTGTTCGCAGTGCGTTGCACCTGCACGCGCACAGCAGCAATGACACCTTCAAGGGTGGCCGCGCAAGCTAAAACTTTTGTTTCCCAGGACGGGACCTGGAGGCCCTGGGTGTGCTGCTTCGCGGACTGCTGCCCCGACCTCGTGACCCACCAGGACCAGCGATCTTCTTCCACTTCCTTCCTCCTCCTCTCCGATTCTTCCTTTCCTCACCGTCCTAGGGGCTGAGTTCGTGGCATCGTTTCCCCGCTTCTTCCTCCTCAGTTCCCCATTATCGTCGTTTCCTTCTTCATTCTCCTCCTCCTTCTCCTCCTCCTTGTCGTCATTCTTCCTCTTCCTCCCCCCCTCCCCCCTCATTCGCCTGAGCTTGTGTCAAGCTGAGGTCGTTTTCATGTCAGCTCGGGACGGAGTGTGGCCAGCGGACGACTAAAGTCATTGTCCCCCTCCCTTCTGCTTCTGCTGCCCCTCCTCGTTATCCATGATGCTGGCCCCCCCTACCCATTATGCCCATCATGAATTCCATGGTAATTGCATGTTGTTTTCTTTTTCACTTGTTCCACTTCTCCACTTCCTCGTTATCCATCATCGTCTTCCTTCTCCACTTCCTCCCCGCCACTCCACCCCTCCTCATCACCATCCCATCCGCTCCCAGCTCCCACCCTCTGTCTGTCGTCTTCGCTCTTCTCTCTCCGCATCCCCGCTATTCGTCCTCACCCCCTGGTTCTATCATCTTCGTTCTCATCCGCCTCCGCCCTGAGTTTGTGGAAGTCGATTAATGGAGAGCAAGCGTGCTGCCAATAATGCCCAGATGTCTATATGGTTCAAACTTGTTCTAAAGATGTAACAAACATGTTTGAAGCAGTTTCAGAGCATGCTTTTCACAGTTTAAACACATCTTTGATTCAATGGCAGGACTGTTAGAGTGTCCATTGTCGTGGCGTCCAAAGCCCTGAGTATCCTGATACACCATGCGCTCCCTCTCCCGTCCTTTTCCGTTTGCACCTCGTCGTCCCAGCCTCCTCGCTCCACATGTGTCGTTGTACTCTTCCTCGCGCTCCCTCCCTCTCCCAGTCGTCTCGACGCGTTCGCTCTCCTCCCGCCCCGCGTCCTCCTCATTGGAGACACGAGGGCGATGAGGACGAGACCAGAGGATGAGGGGACTGAGCGTGGGCGGATTGGGGAGGAGAGGAGGGGGACGGAGGAGGAGGAGGAGGAGGAGGAGGAGGAGGAGGAGGAGGAGGAGGAGGAGAGGAGAGGAGGGGGAAGGATGAGGAGGAGGAGGAGGAGGAGGAGGAGGAGGAGGAGGAGGAGGAGGAGGAGGAGGATAATAATGCGGAGGGAGATTGGGGGGAAACAGGCGGAGGGGGAGTAAGGATACCGATGAGGAACGCGTCGCCCGAAGCAGCGTAACACGTTGTTTTACCCGGCGTGGGTCCCGAGAGATCTCGCCCCCATCCCGTGGACAGCTCCCTCTGGCCCGAGACGTTTTTGACGGCCCTGGGACACTCAAACGGCATCAGGAGAGTCAAGGAAGAAGGCTGCCGCGAGTTTTTCGTGGCGCCGGGGGGCCGTCGCGGCGCTAAGGAGGAGGAGGAGGAGTAGGAGGAGGAGGAGGAGGAAGAGGAGGAGGAGGAGGAGGAGGTTGCGAGAAGGAGGAGGAGATGGAGGAGGAGGAGGAGGAGGAGGAGGAGGAGGAGGAGGAGGTTGCGAGAAGGAGGAGGAGATGGAGGAGGAGGAGGAGGAGGAGGAGGAGGAGGAGGAGATGGAGGAGGAGGAGGAGGCGAGAAGGAGGAGGAGAGGAGGAGGAGAAGGAGGAGGAGGCGAGAAGGAGGAGGAGAGGAGAAGGAGGAGGAGGAGGAAGAGGAGGAGGGGGAGGAGGAGAAGGAGGAGGAGGAGGAGAATGAGGAGGAGGACACCTTTGCTCGCTACTCGTCACCTCGACTAACTAGTGGTGGGGACGGGTCGCCTCGGGAAGGGTTTTGGTGATTGGGGGAACTGACTTCTGGCCATTTTGGCCTTCGGCGGATGGGCTTCTGCCCTTCTGTGGGCCGCCGTACTTTGTCACCTCCCACCTCTCACTTGCGCGCTACAGGCTGCGGCACTCACACACGGCACTCTTCGTTTTTCTGACGCGTAGATCACAGTAGCCCGCAGTCACATATCCATTTGCCTCTTGATAGTAAGCACAGGCCAGCCTGCTAGAGAGCCAGCCTTCAAGCCAACGCGTTGACACTATCAGCATCTACTGTGCCACATATCGGCTTCGCACTGATAGACGGCAGGACTATCTGGACGGTGAGTTTGATTAGGTTGGGAGGGGCAACGCTTGGAGCCAAGAGCTTTCATAGCAAGTTTACTCTACCTCGTTTTTCCTCGCCACTCTGTCTTACAATGGCCGCATTCTTATATATTTAAAGCTCGCACTTCATTTCGGAACACCTGGCTTACAGGGTGTGCCCCCCTTACTCACAGACCTACAGTGCCGACCCTTGCAGAGAGCGTGACCAGTTCGATCGAGTCTGCTATTCCGAGTTATGGCGTCACATATTTTTCATGTAAAGCATGATGGCCTTCTCGAATGCTCCTTCCCGATGTGTCTAGACACTGCTCGCCTGGATATTATCTAGACACGGCTCGCCTGGACATAGAAGTGTGAGGTGGGGGGGAGGAGGGGGACCTCACCAAGGCCAGCCAGCAACTACGGCAATTCGCCGCGCACCTCACACAATGCCACCCTGGGCCACACTTTAACCTGAGCGTCCAGAGGAGCCAGCTTCCACGGCAGCAAGCCGCGCTCGCATTGCCACCTGCCTTGCCCCCCCCCGCTCTTCTCTTCAACTGGCTCGCATTGCTCGACTGGCTGCACGCCTGGACTTGCATTGCCTGCGTTTTACCTTACGGGAGGCCATCGCGGGGATGAGTTTTACCGTACGGTAGGGGTCGAGTTTCACCTGAAGGGGTACCGTATTGCCCTTGCGCCATCTTTCCACGGCGGTAAGCCTAAACCGAGGGCTCACACTGTCACTCTAACGTTGCGTGTGTTTCTTTTCGGCACGTCTATCTCTTCCCTCTTCGTTCGGATCGTCTTCGGATGTCCGCCTGGCTGGCGCATGCTCTGCGCCCCTTGGGGCCCTCTTCTTTACTTTTTCGTGTTGCCCTTCCGATTCAGCTGCGCAGGCCAGGCTAATACGCTTGTCACACCGCTGAGTCGGCGATCTTTTTTCCCAACCATCTTGTGGTGTTGTGTCTTCGTTTCGAAGAGACGGTCCCCGCGTTCTTCCTCCATCCTTCCTCCCTCCTCCTCCCTCTCCTCCCTCCTCCCCCTCCTCCCTGTGTTTCATCCACCCAGTACAGCGTTTCGTGGCCCCATAGGGAGCTCCACCGAAGCCCCCAGTGGGACCGTCCGCTTGCGTCCCGGAAACCAGATGTGGCACTCCCCTCACACGCTTCGTGGCTCCATAGGGAGCTCCACCGAAGGCCGCACTGCCACCGCCCGCGCGCGTCCCGAAGACCCACTGTGGCACACCCCTCACACGTTTCGTGGCCCCATAGGGAACTCCACCGAAGCCCCCAGTGGGACCGCCCGCACGCGTCCCGAAAACCCAATTTATCACACCCATCACGCGTTTCGTGGCCCTATACGGAGTTCCACCGAAGGCCCCAGTGGGACCGCCCGCATGCGTGTTGAAAACCCAATTTGGCACACACCCTCACACGTTTCGTGGCCCCAGGCGGAGCTCCAACGAAGGCACCAGTGCCACCGCCCGCACGCGTCCCGAAAACCAAAGTTGGCACACCCCCTCACACGTTTCGTGGCCCGATATGGAGCTCCACCGCAGCCCCCAGTGGGAGCGCCCGCATGCTTCCCGAGAACCCAGTTTGGCACACCCCCTCACACGTTTCGTGGCCCCGGGGGGGAACTCCAACGAAGGCACCAATGCCACCGCCCGCATGCGTCCCGAAAACCAAAGTTGGCAGACCTCTCACACGTTTCGTGGCCCGATGTGGAGCTCCACCGAAGCCCCCAGTGGGACCGCCCGCATGCGTCCCCAGAACCCAGTTTGGCACACTCCGTCATACGTTTCGTGGCCCCATGAGGAGCTCCACCGAAGGCCCCAGTGCCACCGCCCGAATGTGTTCCCCCACACCCATTCCGGCACACCTCTCACACGTTTCGTGGCCCTATAAGGAGCTCCACCGAAGGTCCCAGTGCTACCGCCCGCATGCGCCCCCCCCACCCAGTACAGCGCTTCGTGGCCATAAGGAGGTCCACCGAAGGATCCAGTGCTACCGCCCGCATGCGCCCCCCCACCCAGTGCAGCGCTTCGTGGCCCCATAGGGCGCTCCACCGAAGGCCCCAGTGCTACCACCCGCATGCGCCCCCCCCACCCAGGATAGCGCTTCGTGGCCCCATTGGGAGCTCCACCGGCGGCCCCAGTGCTACCGCCCGCATGCGTTCCCCCCCACCCAGTGCAGCGCTTCGTGGCCCCATGGGCAGCTCCACCGAAGGAGATATTCACAATTGCGGTACCCACAACTGAGTATGGCTGGGTCCTTCGCCAGGATAATTTCACGCACGCTCCAGGCTTCCGCTTCAAGTTTGTACAACGTAACGCCGAAAAGGAGGAGGCAGGAGGAGTTTGGAGGCATGCCAAAAACCGTGGCCCCTCCCAGACGCCATGCGGACGCCAGTCTTCTTCGAGCGGCGTTCCGCCGTGGCCACAGCGCCCCCCCCTCCCCCGCCGAAGGAGCAAATAGTTCAGCAAATATCAGACGTCCTCTTCCCCCTTCGTCGTCGCCGAGGTCCCCCTGTCCTCATGCCACGGCATGCGAAACAATGCTAGGTGGCGTTCCGCTGCGCGATGCCATGCCTTCAGCTGCAGCTGTCATTTCCAGTGCTTAGGTGCCACGTCTGGCTATGCCATGCTACGCTTTGATCTTCAATGCCATGCTATGCAATGTTATGTTCGTGGCCGCTGTGCGATGCCATGCCTTGCGTTGCAAAGCTTTGTGATGCAATTCTTCACTACGCCACGCCACGCCATGCTGTGACATACTACGCTTTGCGGTGCTCTTCTGCGCCGTGCCACGCCGTGCTCTACAATGCATCGCGTACCCTTTCGGGATCATTGCCCTGCTCGACATCAGACTGTGCGAGTAG